CGTATTAGCGGAACACCGTAAAGCGGGGCCCTACTGTACTTTTCGTCATGAAACCAATCAGAATTATATTTATTTCTGTAGTATATCTTCCATTCTATCAAATGAGACCAAAAAAATGAGAACACAACCATAAAAACCATATGAAAATATACTGTTAAGGGGAGGCTAATGACCGAGAAGTGAACCATGTTTTTTATGGTCCAATTTCTTTCATTTTTGGTGTACATTAAGAAGCATCTTTCCATCATACATTGCCCAAGTTTCAGTAAGATGGTCCAACAAACAACTGAGATCCAATTCCCTAGATCAGGAGCAAGAGCCCCTCACCAGCATCAAGGAACCTTCCTTGAAGCCCACTCGAATCTGGAAATTTTGCTCGCGTCTGGAAGCAAAAAATTGCCGAGTGACTGCTCGTATCTGGAAAAACCCGCATGTGGAGGCACTCGTAAGTAGAGGTTCCACTGTATTATTCAAAACAAAGATTGGCCATGAAATCACAAGAACCACTACAAATTATAATTATCAGAAGAAAAATTATATATAAAAAATGAGAAAAAAAAGATATATTGGCAACACTTCTGCAAGTGGCAGGACTCCATGTTGCCATCAGGTAATCATCCAGCACTAGCTTTGTGGCCTTATATCTTAGTAAGTACTGACCCCCCAGAAAAATTTTTGGTCTTATTACACACAGAAAATTGCCCTCTTTAACCCTTTCAGGGTCGACAGGCCCTCTCCAAAACTAGTTCTCAGGGTCGGAAATTTTTTGAAGAAAAAAAAAAAAGAAAAATAAAAAATTCTTATGAAATGACAGAGAATCTTTTCCAATTATAGTGACACCAAAAGTATGAAATTTGATGGAAAACTTACATAATTATGCTCTTGCGAGCTTAGCGGTCTCGACAATGTTTATGCATTGGCGATTTCGCCCACTTTGAGCCCTATTTTCGGCCAATTCCGATGTACCAGTCGACAAAAATCATAACTATTTCGCTAGAATTCCATTTTTTTCTATCGAATGAGTACAAAAAACCACCCATTTACCAATTTCAACTCTCCAATAAAGTGGTCAGAAATTGGCAATTTTGCCAATTTCACACAAATTTCAAAAGAAGCCAATTTCCAAATAAGGTTCAGAATAAACAAGAAAGACTTTCCTGGCACTAAAATAACATTTTTTTTTTCTGTTCATTAGTCACGTCCACAGGCCTCTCTTACATTTCTTTTGCTTTCCACTTCAAATTTTTATTCTCACAAAAAAATAGATTATTTACTGTTATGCAGACTACTGCATTAGTGTAGAAGTGGTATAAATAATATCAGTGCACTTGTGAAAGAATATTAGACTCACCAGTTGACGTGTATTGGATGCGTGGCATGATTTGGTTACTTTTGTACTTTGGCAAAAATCGAATATTTCTGCTACTTTGAGCTCAATTTCAAGGTACTTTTCATTGTGAAACCAATCAAAATCATCTCAATTTCTGTATTATGTCTTCCATTCTATAAAATGAGACCAGGAAAACTAGAATACAACCATAAATACCATACAATGCAAAGTCCCTATTTGAAACCAAAAACACGGTCAAAGTTTTTTTTTCTCATTATGCAATGTGTGCTGCAGGATTTTTTTTATACTGTGCACACTGACCACATAGACTCATTCTTTTATATGTAGACCTACCAGCTTTCTCTTGCTAGATTTGAAGGTGCTAGAATTTATGCGTACTAGCATGTCAATAACCCTAGTGCGTGAGACGTATTAGTACGTCGGAAACCCTGTAAGGGTTAACTTTATTTTTTTTTTCTAAATATTTGGAGTGCTGGGCGAGAGAATGTAGATCTATGTTTGGACAGTTAAGGAGTTAATGCTGCAGTGAAGAGGAGGCTGGAGGCAGTGGAGATGTCGTGTCTGAGGGCAATGTGTGGTGTAAATATTATGCAGAGAATTTGTAGTTTTGGAGATTAGGAGGAGGTGTGAGGTTGGAATAAAAAGGGGTGACTTTGTAGTGGAGGGAAGGCGAGGTAGGGGTCGTCCTAGGAAAGGATGGAGGGAGGGGGTGAAGAAGGTTTTGTGTGCAAGGGACTTGGGACATACAACAGGCATGTGTGAGTGTGTTAGATAGGAGTGAGTGGAGGCAAATGGTTATGGGACCTGATGAGTTGTTGGAGTGTGAGCAAGGTAATATTTTATGAAGGGATTTAGGGAAGACAGCAGCTAGACATGAGTCCTGGAGGTGGGAAGTACAGTGCCTGCATTCTCAATGAAGGGTTTGGGATATTTGCTGTTTAGAATGACAATCTAAACTGTCATATCTATGTGCCTCTAGCAAGACAGTGATAGTGTGAATAATATTAAAAGAGTTTCTGTTTTGGGTCACCCTGCCTTGGTGGGAGATGGCCATTGTATTAAAAAAATATATATGCAATGCTTTACACTGAATGGATTATAAATGATTCTAGCATTTTTTTAAATGCTCACATGATGTATAGTATTTTGGGCAGAACTGAAGTTAAAGCATTTTTTATACTAAAAATATTAAATTTAATAATATTTAGTGAAGGGATTCAGGGAAACTGGTTATTTTTATATAGCTGGACTTGAGTCCTGGAAATGGGAAGTACAATGCCTGCACTCTAAAGGAGGGGTTTGGGATATTGGCAGTTTGGAGGGATATGTTGTGTATCTTTATACGTATATGCTTCTAAACTGTTGTGTTCTGAGCACCTCTGCAAAAACAGTGATTATGTGTGAGTGTGGTGAAAGTGTTGAATGATGATGAAAGTATTTTCTTTTTGGGGATTTTTCTTTCTTTTTTGGGTCACCCTGCCTCGGTGGGAGACGGCCGACTTGTTAAAAAAAAAAAAAAAATATTGATTGTAATTGTGTAATATTTGGAGCTGAATTAAAATTTAAATTACCACAGGATCAGTATAACCCTTGAAATAATAGTGATTTTTAAGCAAATATGAAGTAAAAATTTAAAGAAATCTTCAGTTTCAAATTTAGAATAGGATTTATGATGATTTACAGGTGGTAATATCGATACCTTTTAGACCCTAGGTGTGTATAGCAAAATTGTATTAAGAGCACCCAACATAATATACAACCTCTCCTCACTTAATGACGGAGTTCCGCTCCTAAGACCTCGTTGGTAAACGAATTTGTTGCTAAGTGAGGAGCATACTGTAATGGTAGTAGATTTATGTCAGCCATCTTTGGTATTGTTTTAATATCATCTTTGCACCATTTATAACATTTTAAATGTTTATACAGTAGTGTACTGTATACAGCCTCTCCTTACTTAGCGACGTACTCGTTTACCAATGCCTCGGACTTAGAACGGGCTCTCTGACCAGCATTCATACCTAAATAATGTATATTAGAGATTATTTCCTCTATTCTGTTTATTTCAGTATACAGTACACTACTGTATAAACATTTAAAAATATACCAGAAATGTTATAAATGGTGCAAAGGTGAACATTAAAACAATATCAGAGATGACTGACACAAACTCACTACCATTATAGTATGCTCCTCACTTAGAGACAAATTTGTTTAACGAGAGGCTGTAGTGTATTAAACAGAATAGAGGAAACCAGCTCTAATATACATTATGTATGCGTACTGGTCAAAGAGCCTGTCGTAAGTCCGAGTCGTCAGTAAATGAGTACATCACTACGTGAGGAGAGGTTGTATATAAAAAAAATATGAGATGTTGCAAAAACCACTGAAGTTGACTGGTGGGTGTGACCCACAAGTCAACTAAGCCCTGGGTATCTATTTACTCTAAACAGGAGCAGCAGGTGCTAGGAGACTTGCCTATTTGCTCACCTAGTTCAACCTATTTGTCTCGCCTAGTTCATTGAACTTTGATCCTTTGAGTAGTAATAGCGTCATTACATACATATAAGCAAAATTAAATGCAAAGATTTTACATAAAGTGAGGAACATTTGTATTGGTTTATTAATTATCACATGAAATTGAGTGTACTTATTGCAACTTACATAGAATGATGTAAAGTTTGCAGAAATTGACTTGTGCTTCTAACATGCACTGGTACTGTATGTACAGTAGTCCGCAGAAACTGAAATCTGTGGATATGAGCATTCTATTCTACTCACCTATGTGTGATTGCAGGTGTCGAGTCACAGCTCCTGATTAGGTATAGGAGATCACCAACTTACAAACAAGATGAGATGTGGTCATAAAAAGATTGAAAATTGTTTGATAAATATACTTGAGTAAGGCACACTACACACTTTGGACAGCAGTTGTTGGCAGTGAGGGAGGGGAGGAGCTGTGCCTTTCCAAACACTTGACTTTTAGGCCCCAAAAAGAATAGAGAGTTTTAGGCCCAAAAAAGAATAACGAGTCACAGTACGGTGACTGGAATATTTCACCAAAAACTTGCATTTAGGGAAGGAACATTATGACGATGTTTCAGTTTGTCCTGGGCTAAACAATAAAGCTCAAAACAATAAAGATAAAGATAAAAGATTTATTTTGGCATGATACAATGTTAGTACAGAGATGGGTGACATTTAGGTGTGCATGCAGAATGTCCATAGTTATACATACAGAGAATTTCGGAGGGACCGGAACATCATTGTACAGTTCCTCTCCTAATTGCAAATATTTGGTCAATAAATCATCTTACAGAGCAACACTACATAATGTGATTTAGTATAAACATAATTGAAAAAATGCATATAAAATTTCATAGTGCATGAAAAGCTTTGATGATACACTCTCTTAGGATGGAAGCATCAAGTTACTTGCAAAATCTGGGTACTGTATGTAGTGAAATGTTAGCCTCAAACCCAGGGTGGGCCTAAGTGGAAGAACTTCATGATGACATTTTTGTTCATCCTGGATCATTGTTAAGTCAGTTGTGACTTGACAGTAGTCCAGGATGGGCCATAACATCACCATGATGTTCCTCTCCTAATTGTGGATTTTAGGTGAATTGTTCCAGCCATGGTATTGTGATATTTCAAGGTTTTGGTGAATTGTTCCAGCCATGATATTTTGAGTCTATTCTTTAAGGGTTTATTGTTTAAAAATATGTTTAATTTTCTCCTTATTGTCATTACTGTGGTATACTATCAGATGAGCAGTGGTACCCGGGAGGTCAATGCCACAGTAGACAGAGTGATCATCTATGCTGAAGTTAAACAAGGAAACAATCCAGTTGTCAATGCTAATGTCAGGTCTGAGTCCTCCCTTTTGATATTTTGCTTTGTCATGCATATATAGATGCAATATATATATTGTCTTATAATACTTGTGTATGTGTACTAAAAAAACAAATAATCTAGCTCTATTTTTTCAGCACAAAATTGTAATTGGAGATGTGTATTGAATGGTACATTGTAAATTACTTTGGTGTAGAGCCCTGGTAACTCCACCTAATGAATTTGAGCGTGATGAAGTGTACATACTATTGGACAATGGTCAAGGAGCAGACATTCAAGCTGGTGATGGCATATACTCCCGCTACATGACCCGTTACTCAGCAACTGGCCGCTACAGTGTCAAGGCTCAGGTATATTTCCTGTTATTTGTTGTATAATTATTTCAACCTCACATTGTTGGTTTTGTTTTATATGGTTTTACATAAATTTTTCTAGATATGCTATTTTAGGTTATGATACTTTAACATAAATTAACCAGATTTAACCATCAAGGTGTCATGTAGCTGGGTTGGTAGCACACTCAGATCACACATTGAGGTCCGTGGTTCAGTCCTCAATACAGGTGGAAACACTGGGGCGTGTTTCTTTGAGACTCCTGCTGTCTATGTTCACCTAGCAGTAAAATGGGTACCTGGGTGTTAGTCGACTAGTGTGAGTCACATCCTGGGGGCAAAATTAACCTAATTTGCCTGAAATGCTCTGCATAACAAGGGGATTTCTATATAGTTCAGGTTGACTATCACTAATCCGGCATCATTAGGACTGTAGGGTGCTGGATTAGTGATTTTACCAGATTACAAAGTGGTTAGATTACAATACACTAAACCCAACAGCTAACCACCTCAATGCTACTTTTCAAATACCCTGTCAATCAGTACAAGTTGGTTAATCTTTTCACTGTCATGACCCATTCTTGCAAACTTGCTCCCAGTGTCAAAGAATTTAAAAAAAAAAAATTACTGTGGTACCCCAAGTTTCGTACAGCTCCCAACTTGAACAAGTATGTAAGTGTTTTATTGTAAGTGCTTTTGTAAGTGTATTTTTGGGGGTCTGAAATGGACTAATCTAATTTACATTATTCCTTATGGGAACAAGTTCGTTCAGTAACAGCACTCGAACAGCCTTCTGGAATGAATTGTGTATGAAACTCGGGGTACCATGTACATGTATTTTATCATTTCCGAAGGTAATAAAACTAAAAATACGAAATTTGAAAGAAAACTTACAGAATTATGCTCTTGCAAAGTTAGCAGTCTCAGCAAAATTTACACATTATTGATTTCGCCCACTTTACACCCTATTTTTGGCCAGTTACAGTGTTCCAGTCGACCAAACTCATAGCTGTTTCTTTACAACTCCATTTGTTCTATCGATTGATTACAAGAAACTGCACATTTACTGATTTCAACTACCCAATAGAGTGGTCAGAAATTGACAATTTGGCCAATTTCATACAAATTTCAAAAGATGCCAATTTCAAAATAGGGTCCAGAATAAACAATGCAGACATTCCTGACACTAAAATAACATTTTCTCTGTTCATTAGTCATGTCTCTAGGCCCCTCTTATATTACTCTTGCTTTCCATTTTGAATTTTTATTCACACAAAAAATAGAAGATTTACTGTTATGCAGACTATTGCATTATTATATAATTGTATAAATAATATCAACTCATTTGTGACTGTGTATTAGACTGGCCATTTGGACACATATTGGACTGTGATGTCATTTGTTTACTCTTGAACATCGGCAAAAATTAAACATTTCTGCTACTTTGAGCTCAATTTCAATGTACATTTCTTTGTGAAACCACTCAAAATCATCTCTTTTTCTGTAATATATCTTCCATTCTATCAAAGGAGACCAAGAAAACGAGAATACAGTGGTACCCTGAGTTTCAGCCATAATTCATTCCAGAAGGCTGTTAGAGTGCCGTTACCAAACGGATTTGTTCCCATAAGGAATAATGTAAATTAGATTAATTCGTTTTAGACCCCCAAAAAATACACTTACAAAAGCACTTACAATAATACGCTTACATAATTGTTTGAGTTGGGAGCTGTACGAAACTTGGGGTACCATCGTACAACCATAAATACGATACAAAAATACATCTAAAAGTCAGCATTTTAATCCAAAAACACAGAGTTTTTTTTTGTTCTCATTATGCACTGCATGCTGTAGGATTTTTTTTATACTGCACACACCGACCATGCAGACCCATTCTCTTATATGTAGGTCTACCATCTTTCTTCTGCTAGATAAGCCGCTAGAATTTGGGGGAATTAATACATCACCAACACTAGCTCGTATGATGTATCTATACAGCACCAACAGTCAAAAGGTTAAAGAAAATTTTGGGTGTCCCGTAGCTCGATCGCCAGCACACTCAGCTCACACACTGAGGTTCGGAGTTTGAATCTCCAATACGGCTGGAAAACATTACAACTTGTTTCCATAAGGTGCCTGCTGTTCGCATTCACTCATCAGTATAAAATGGGTACCTGGGTGTTAGTTGACTGGTGTGGGTCACATCCTGGGACAAAACTGACCTAATTTGCCAGAAATGCTCTGCATGACAAGGGGCTTTCTATATAGTAGTATGTCATTGATGTCAGCTATGGCCTGTATACCTTGTACATGTACTGGTAGTAAATAAAGATATTATTATTATGATTATTATTATTATTTGTTGAACAGTGTTGCAGTGGTGGATAACAGGACAAGAGCATTGTTTTTTCAACACCAGCCATCTCCCACCAAGGCAAGGCAACCCAAAAATAAAACTGAATGTTTTTCTTTTTACTGTTGTTAGGTTGGTATGTCCCTTATTACTTTGATAGTAAGGTTCTCACTATATGTTCTAGTGTGGGGGGTAGCTTTTTACTTAATGGCCTTATCTGTCTAGGGGTAATACTTACATCATGGCTGATCATCCTGAGTGTCTCTGATATCCTTTCCACCAGCCCTCTTCACAGGTTATGTAAACTACAACTATAAAAATATAACTATATTCTAAATAGATATGTACAGAATATACAATTACAGCCTCACATATTCAAAACAAAAATCTACACACTCTTTAGCTGTTCTCCCACATGGTGCATCTCAGCAACTTTGCCCTTCTCTCTTCATGACTAATCTCTGGGCTAACTAGTGTTTTGACAAACTTTAGTCACCCTGGGTATGGTGGCCACAACTTAAGTTATAAAAACTCACCCCTGGAGCACACATAATGCCCCCAAAAAATAGAAGAAAGACCCAGAGATCCTGCCAGGTTGAAGTCCAGCACCAGAGAGAGAGAGAGAGAGAGAGAGACAGACAGAGAGACAGACAGACAGACAGAGAGACAGACAGAGAGACAGACAGAGAGACAGAGAGACAGACAGAGAGACAGACAGAGAGACAGACAGACAGAGAGCACAGACAGAGAGACAGACAGACAGACAGACAGACAGAGCACAAAGCAACAGAGAGAAGACAGACAGAGAGACAGATAGAGAGACAGACAGACAGACAGACAGACAGACAGACAGAGAGAGAGACAGACAGAGACAGACAGAGAGACAGAGAGACAGAGACAGACAGCCAGCCAGCCAGCCAGCCAGCCTCCCCTAGCTAAGCTCCTCCCACACCAACAAAAGACTGTTGCCAAAGCACAATTCTCCAGTTACCACACTTCTACCACACCTTAATTTTACTTTTACAAAAAGAATTACAACTTTATAAACTACTTATTTAAATTGTGTGTTTATGTGTCTATAGTATAACCTATTATATTGAGAAAAATAGGCTTGACCCAGCTGCCTCTCAGTCATAAGGGTGATCTGCCCTTATGACATTTAGAGCTGAGTCCCCATCAATTCAATATAATTAGGTATTCCAGAGTAACTGTTACTTATAAATACATGTTGGGTCCTATAGCCCCCTAACACTCTGCACCTCTGGAAAGGCAGTGATAGTGTGAATGATGGTGAAAGCATTTTGTTGGGGGGAGGGGTCACAATGCCTTGGTGGGAGATGGCCAGCATGTTAAAAAAAATATACTGGTTTTGGTTTTTTAGACATTTTTAATTTAAGTTACGTTTGTAAAAGTAGGTAGAGATAAGTAGAGAGAGCTTAGGTAATTATCTGTGTGGCAGTCTCTGACTTAAGGAAGGAGATTAGGGATTTTTTCTGGCTATATTCACTAATATAGTGTACACATAAACTTCCAGCCTCTTGTCATACAGGTTACAGATGGAGGAAGAGCAGTTATCAACAAAGGTTTCCTTACGTCGTCTCAACGCAGACGGCGTTCAGCTGATCCAAATGATTATGAAGGTAAAACATATTTTTATTTGTACAGTGGACCCCCGCATAACGATCACCTCCGAATGCGACCAATTATGTAAATGTAAGTGTATTTATGTAAGTGCGTTTGTACGTGTATGTTTGGGGGTCTGAAATGGACTAATCTACTTCACAATATTCCTTATGGGAACAAATTCGGTCAGTACTGGCACCTGAACATACTTCTGGAGTGAAAAAATATCGTTAACCGGGGGTCCACTGTATTTTAATAATGTTTAATGGAAAAACTACATTTTTATCCACTGAAGAATGAGCACTACTAGGTAATTTAGAATTTTAATTCTTATTCAAGTTTTGTATATATCTGTCTTAATGCATTTCACATTTTTTACTTAGGCAGACTTCCTTCATGACTCATGAAATCATAATAACACGATTGCAAACAAATCAGGGAACGGGTGGGGTTTGAACCCATGGCAAACGAGTCCTAAAACTCATAGGCCAGTGTGCTAACCACTGGACCACCAGGCTCTAACAAGATTCAGTCAACTAGGTATATTTCTGTACATCATAGGGAGGTTAGCATGGGCCACCGCTGTGAGTACCTTCCTTTTTGTGCATGGAACATTTGAAAAATCTGTAAATAATGACAAATACTTGCAGGACTTATAGGTACTAGGTTGGTAGACAGCAACCACCTAGGGAGGTACTACTGTACTGCCAAGGGAGTGTAAAACAAAAGCCTGTAATTGTTTTACATGATGGTAGGATTGCTGGTGTCTTTTGTCTATCTCATAAATATGCAAGATTACAGGTACGCCTTGCTACTTCTACTTACACTTAGGTTACGCTACACATACGTGTACAAGCATATATATATACACACCCCTCTGGGTTTTCTGCTATTTTCTTTCTAGTTCTTGTTCTTGTTTATTTCCTCTTATCTCCATGGGGAAGTGGAACAGAATTCTTCCTCTGTAAGCCATGAGTGTCATAGCAGGCAACTAAAATGCCAGGAGCAAGAGGCTAGTAATCCCTTCTTCTGTATATACACATATTACAAAAGATAAAAAGAAAAACTTTCAGGTTTTTTTTTTTTTGGCCACCCTGCCTTGGTGGGTTACAGCCAGTTTGTTGAAAGAAAAGAATATATGTGTAAATTACCTAGGATAACCCAAAAAGCCAGAGAAAGTGACTTATTTCCATTGGAGTCCTTGCTTATTTCCATTGGGAATAGTACCATGATTCTGGAGAGGGGAGGTGAAGCTACCTTCCCTCAAATCAAATCTAATTTCCTCATATTCCTGAGATGCTGCTTAAGTTTATGGGTTTAGCACTTCCCCATGATATAATAGCAGAGTACTGATACTATTGACTGTAAGCTTCAATGTTGTGACAGAAAGACCCGACTACTGCTGTGGAAGCTACATCCCTCTACACCGTGCAGGTGGTCATAACACTGGCAACTTCACCAGAATAACAGTTGCAGGATCAGTTAAGGTCAGTAGTTTCAAGGGATACATCTTAACCAAAAATATCCTAATAATAGTGGAAGACTGGAAACATCCTTAAGAAAGCTTGAAAAATTGTAAAAATATTATAAAATGTCAAGGTTTGCATACAGATATAAAGTAAATACATATATATAATACAATATAAGGACAAAAGAGCCCACTCATAGAGAGGCAACATTTGATTTTAAACTTTTTATTCTTTGTATATACAGTATAAACTTTATTAATATTTTAACAATAGGGGATATTTGGCAAACTAATGGTACTATACCATTGTATAAAAATATTTTTCTTGGCATTTACTGTAAAATAATTATTAATATTTTGTAGTACCATACAATATTACCATAATAATATGTATTAAAATATACATGACATTGTAGGAATATAGTTATTCTTGGAAATAGAGAAGCTTGTGTGATTGTGTTTCTTCCTTCAAGGGATGGGGTGCACTGTCATACTGCAAAAAGCTCTTGATCCATTTAGTTAGAACCACCCTCCCTTTTTATCAAATCTGATGACTTCCCATTCCTTAGGTGCAGTATGGTCCCCTATGGGTTTAGTGTTTCCCTGTTCATATAAAAATAAAGTTCCTCAGATTGAACTTGATGTGCCCAGTACTGAAAGATGTGTTCAAAAATAAAAATGATGCTTTTCTTCACTAGGTAACAGAGATACCAGAGAAAGACACTCAACCTCCAGCCCCAGTGAGGGATCTTCACATTGTTCTCATGGATGATGTCAAAACTGATGTTCTCTCAGGTCATTACAATGTCAGTCTCAGCTGGACCGCTCCTGGAGATGATCTTGATCTTGGCATAGGTTAGTTTAAAATACTTAGAGGTTTTACTTTCACGTTCCAAGTTTTTCTTCTTGAGAATTGTAATTTTGAGTTCAATAAACTCGCTTATAAAGCTCCTCTACATTATTGTTTTAAATACACCGGCTGTCTATCACCGAGGTCGAGTGACCCAAAAAACAAGAAACACTTTCACTATCACTTGTTCCATTACGGCATCATCAACTACAGCTCGTCAACACCCAAAGGTATACCCCAGGTGTGCAGTCATCAACAATGACTCGACACCTTTGATAAAATTCTACAGGAAAATAGTATGCTGAGGTGGCAAAACGAAACCTATGAAAAACTGATTGCAGACCTAGAGCTCTCTCTATTTCCCCAAAACACAAGGATTAGTGACCTAGAGTGCCATCTAAGAATACAAAACTCAAGGATTAGTGAACTAGAAGACAAACTAACAGTCTTAACAAACACAACCAAGCAACACAAAAACCTGCAAACAACTGTAGCCACAACTGTGCCACCAAGCTGTCAGAAGCTACACAAAATTGGAGGTTAAACATGGAATCCCAGTGGAGTGCATGCTTCCAGTATCAAAGGGACATGATTGAACAAGACAAGCTCCTAGACTCTCTTATTTTAACCAGCTCTAACTTACCATCAGATACAAACCATGACAACTGCACCAACAAAGCACTTAAGCTAATAAAAGATGAGATAAATATTAACACTGACACCAGCCATATCAAGGAGGCCCGACTGCTAGGCAGGCCGGGTAAAAACCAAAGTGTTATGTTAAGATTCAATTCCATTGATGTGAAAAAGGACTTAATAAGTTCCTCCATCAAGAAAAAGAGTAATGTGTATGTTAATGAGTGCCTTACTAAACAGTGACAGAACCTACTATGCAGACTTAGAAAACTTAAACGTGATAATGTAGTAATCAGTGTTTTACGCATGATGGCATGATCATGGTAAAATTATCAGACTCGGGTTGCATGTTTGAAATAACAAATGAGCATGAGCTAGCATATTTTTTCACATTCACTTGTCTGACTGAATCTTGTTAAGCTGCATCTCGACATAACATGAACCATGTACAGTGCTTTAGTATAGCGCAATACACCCCATTCTTTTCATTTGTCTGACTATTCATCATAAGTGATTATTTACCATATTGTTAAAAGTGTATGTTACTTAGCAACATTAGGTGCTAAAAAACAGGTACTAAATCAGGTGCTAAAGAGTTTTTGATTGAATCTACTGGCAGGGGTTAAGTATGTTGTTGGATATAAAGTAGGAGTAAAGTCGTTTGTGTATTATTTTTTCAAATACAGTAGGGTCCCGCTTATATGGCAGGCTAGGTTCCAGGCCACCGCCGTAAAGTGGAACACCTCTTTTTCTGCTTATAAATGCATATAAATACAGTGGACCCCCGCATACCGTTGGCATTACATAACGTTAAATCCGCATACCGATACATTTTATCGCTAAGATTTTGCCTCGCATACCGCTAAAAAACCCGCTCAACGCTATTCGTCCGAGACACGTCTAATGTGCGGCCTGAGCCAGCCTCACATGTTCCGCCGGTGGCATTGTTTACAAGCCAGCCTCTGCGGTAACATCCATGCATACAATCAGAACATTTCGTATTATTACAGCAGTTTTGGTGATTTTATCTGCAAAATAAGTGACCATGGGCCCCAAGAAAGCTTCTAGTGCAAACCCTGTGGTAAAAAGTGTGAGAAATATTATCGAAATACTGTGGTACCATGGTCAACTGCTGCTGCTGCTGTAGCACTGTCAGCTGCTGCTGTAGCACCATCAGCTGCTGCTGTACCACTGTCAGCTGCTGCTGCTGCTGTAGTACCATCTGCTGCTGCTGTAGCACCGTCTGCTGCTGCTGTAGCACTGTCAGCTGCTGCTGCTGTAGCACCGTCTGCTGCTACTGTAGCACTGTCAGCTGCTGCTGCTGTTGTAGCACCGTCTGCTGCTGCTGTAGTACTGTCAGCTGCTGCTGCTGTAGCACCGTTGTTGGTGTGGCTTATTGAGAATACCAAGAAACAATTAACCCCAGAGGGTTAGCCACCCAGGATAACCCAAAAAAGTCAGTGTCATTGAAGACTGTCTAACTTATTTCCATTGGGGTCCTTAATCTTGTCTCCCAGGATGCAACCCACACCAGTCGACTAACACCCAGGTGAACAGGGAAAAATGCCTGGAACTAGTGCTCATATTGGTGAATTTAAAGCCAGCAAAGGTTGGTTTGAGAGATTTAAGAATCGTAGTGGCATACACAGTGTGATAAGGCCTGTTCTGGAAGAAAATGCCAAACAGGACCTACAGTACTCAGGAGGAAAAGGCACTCCCAGGACACAGTGTCTCATCAGTCATTGCTGCATCTTCAATAAAGGTAAGTGTCATTTATTCTTCATTTAGTAGAGTAGTACATGCACAATATATATTGTGCATGTACTACTCTACTATTGTGCATGTATCCTTCTCTTTGTGTGTAGGAAAATGTATATTTCATGTGGTACAAATTTTTTTTTCATACTTTTGGGTGTCTTGCATGGATTAATTTGATTTCCATTATTTCTTATGGGGAAAATTCATTTGCATAACGATAATTTCGCATAACAATGAGCTCTCAGGAACGGATTAATATCGTTATGCGGGGGTCCACTGTACTAGATAACAAGTTTACACTAACATATATTAAGTTAGCAATAGAACTAAGCATTAAAAACAATAAAAAAGTAAAATGCACATATAGTACACTCATTACTTACTTTAAAATATTTGTAGTCTTAATCTAGGGTGAGACAAGTAGTATTTACTGTAAGAAATCAAGTGTGGTATATAGGGTAGTCAGCCAGGCTACCATACCAGGCCACCCACCTACACATAATATTCTATGACATTTAAGCATCCCAGAATGATAAAATGCATATACAGTTCACTCATTACTTACCTTAAAATATTTGTAGTCTTAATGTAGGGTCAGAGGTGAGTAAATGAGATAAAACAAATAAATGAGAGAGAGAGAGAATGAGTACATGAGGGAGGACAGGCACAGAGTTATGTAAACAAACCAGGTGAATGCCAGTTTTGTAAACAAACCAGGTGTACACGTCTGGTTTGTGTACAAGTTACATTGTGTACAAGTTGTCTCTACATTGATACGGTAGAATAAATAAGGAGGAACACTCCCATTCTCATGTAACACCATTTTTAAAACAAATGAAGCTCTGAGTGAAGGCAATGGAAATAAGTCACAATCACTTTTTTGGGTTATCCTAGGTAATTTACACATATGCTGCTATGTATGATAATCTATGTAACTGTATTTGTGTATACCTGAATAAACTTACATACGAAGGGAATAATTTTCTACAGTTACCCCCAGTAACACATTTTCTCTTATGTTGGACTAGAGAAAATGTTATTTTTGCCGTCACTCATATAAGTTGTCGGCTACCACATCTCGTATTTATGTTTATTTATTCTACTGTGGGGTGTATTTATCATCTTTGTATGTTATGTGCCGTCTTTATTACATAATTTTTAAAAAAATACCATAGATGGATTAATGAAAATATGTCTATTAATGTAATATACGACATTCAATGAGACTTGGTGATTATTATTATTATTGTTATTATTATTCTTTCAACACACCGGCCGTATCCCACTGAGGCAGGGTGGCCCAAAAGGAAAAACGAAAGTTTCTCCTTTTACATTTAGTAATATATACAGGAGAAGGGGTTACTAGCCCCTTGCTCCCGGCATTTTAGTCGCCTCTTACAACACGCATGGCTTACGGAGGAAGAATTTTGTTCCACTTCCCCATGGAGGTAAGAGGAAATAAACAAGAACAAGAACTAGAAAGAAAATAGAAGAAAACCCAGAGGGGTGTGTGTATGTATATGCTTGTACATGCATGTGTAGTGTGACCTAAGTGCAGGTAGAAGTAGCAAGATGTACCTGAAATCTTGCATGTTCATGAGACAGATAAAAGACACCAGCAATCCTACCATCATGTAAAACAATTACAGGCTTTCGTTTTACACTCGGCAGGACGGTAGTACCTCCCTGCGCGGTTGCTGTCTACCAACCTACTACCTAGAATTATTATTATTATTATTATTATTATTACTAATATGGTGTCTCAAGACATAAGACACTCTTACTGATTTTAATGTGTACCTGCATGCCAGCAGAGTGTGTAAGTTTATGTAGGTACAGGTATACATAAGTATAATGATCAGAGTATACATAAAATATGAAATAACTTGAAAACACTTGAAATTTTGGAGTTTCTAGACATAATGGAGAGACTTAGTGCTTAAGGATCTCAAAGAGAGTGTAAACAAACTGGGTGGGGCGCGGTGACCATATTAGAAAGTCAGGTGGGGGAAGCCGTATAGAGAGTTTTGGTCATAATTTGAAATGACCGTATTAGCAGAATGCCGTAAAGCAAAACGCCATAAAGCGGGGCTCTACTGTATTTTAGAAAGTAAGGGCAAGGAGGAGGTTCATGGACTTGGGACTTCATGGTTAGGTCTCTCTTATTTTGTTTTTAAGAAAAAAAGGGGGGGGGGAACATGGAGGGGCAGCTCCCAATGGAAAAGAACCGTAAGTCTCTCCTTCCATGCTGTACCCTACCCTTCAACCCAGTAAACTAGCAATCCCAGATAGCAACCTCATATCTACCGAGCCACCTCAGTGGACAAAAGGGAGGACAGTCGGAAATCTGCTACAAAGCATACCTCCTTTGGCCACCACCACCTGGAATCTGACAGGCATCCTCCAGAGATACACCCATCACCTGAAAGACGCCTGAAGCCTTTTCCCTGGTAGACCAGAGAGGGATCAGGATCTCTAGATGATCCAGATTTCATGGCAAACTACACTACCACCAAGAACCTTAGTGGAAGGAGATGGATCCCAGAACCCCCTTCTCAGGTCTAGGAACTACAAAGCCTAAGGAGATCAACCTCAAAGGCAGAAACAGGAAAAGGAAAGTGGAGAGATGAGGTGAGGAAGAAGGAAGGGGATATTGGGGGTAATTAGGTTTGGTCTGAGGAAGAAGACCAAAAAGTCTAATTCCTCAGACCAATAGCCTCTTCACCACACCGAAGAGCCCCCCCTTGAAGAAGTAGAGGTCTCCATCCACATTCGCGAGGGTTAGGGGATCAAGAACCCTGTGAATGTTGAAAAATCACGAATGTTTGGTGCCCAAATATATTGTAGGGAAATATAATAATAGCATTTACTTAGCCTAACAATATTGCTTCCTTAACCTATTGAACCATGGACAATCATAAAACACATGAAAACATCATAAAATATTGTACTAGTGCCAGCCCTTTGGTAAAGGTGAGAAAGAGTATAGAATTCAAGAAAGAACTTGTAGCAGAGTACCAAAGTGGAGGAGGAAGAGAGAGGGAAGACTGTGCCTTCTTCAGTGATTCTAAGATATGTATGATACTAAAGCAGCATGAGTCGATAAAGGCTATAATGCCAGCCAGCGATAAAGTGTAGCATTAACAGTGTAGCATGTAAGTTAAGCAATTAATCGATAGAAAAAGGACAGCACGAACCTAACTGTTCCAATGTTGGAGTTATATAACATCGCCGTCTCTAGTCTCTACCGCCTCCACCACCATGTAAGGCTTATGTCTCGGTGGCCCTTATACACCCAACAACACCAACACAACAACACTCATGACATAATGACATATTTTATTCATTCTAGAGTATATGTCATGTTTCTATGCTATTAATATTGTTTATTATGTCATGTTAGATGAATTGTGATTGATAAATAAGCTGTAGAGTTGATATTAGTGTCATATTGAAGGACTATCCTGTCTTATCTCCAAACAAACTCTGCCACTGCTACGATTCCTAACGTATGTAATGACATATTTTAAATATGATTGGGCTGCTGGGAATTCGCGAATGTTCGAAGCCCACGAAAGTGGAAAAGCGAATGTTGAGGGAGACCTGTATTTACTATGCACCCTCTGCTCACTTACCAATGTACTTGTTTACTGATGACCAGTATGCATACCTAAATAATGTATATTAGAGCTGATTTCTTCTATACTGTTTATTTCAGTATACAGTACACTACTGTTTAAACGTTTAAAAATATACTAAAAATGTTATAAATGGTGCAAAGGTGACATTAAAACAATATCAGACATGATTGACACAAACCCGCAAGGAGCATTATAGTATGCTCCTTGCTTAGCAATGAATATGTTTATCAACATGGTCTTAGGAATGAAACTCCATCATTAACCCTTTCACTGTTGAGACCCCTAATCCTGAACTCACTCTGTATCAAAGAATCCCCCCCCCCCCAACAAAAAAAAAAAAAATTCTGATGAAATGATAGAGAATCTCTTTCCAATGGTAATGCCACCAAAAGTATGAAATTTGGTGTTAAACTTATGGAATTACGCTTTCGTGATGTTTGCGGTTTTGGCAATATATACGCATCAGCAGTTTCACCCACTTTGAGCCCTATTTTCAGCCAATTCCATTGTTCCAGTCAACCAAACTCATAGCTATTTCTTTAGAACTCCATTTGTTCTATTGATTGAGTACAAGAAAGCACCCATTTACTGATTTCAGCTACCCAATAAAGTGGTCAGAAATTGGCAATTTGGCCAGTTTCACTCAAATTTCAAAAGATGCCAGTTTCAAAATAGGATCCAAAATAAACAATGCAGACATTCCTGGCACTAAAATAACATTTTCTCTGTTCATTAGTCATGTCTCCAGGCCCCTCTTATATTACTCTTGCTTTCCATTTTGAATTTTTATTCACACAAAAAAATAGAAGATTTACTGTTATGCAGACTACTGGATTATTATATAATTCTATACATAATGTCAACTCATTTGGGACTGTGTATTAGACTGGCCAGTTGGACATCGGCAAAAATCAAACATTTCCACTATTTTGAGCTCAATTTCAAATTACAGTGGACCCCCGGTTAACGATTTTAATCCGTGCAAGAGGGGTAATTGTTATGCGAAATAATCGTTATGCGAATGAATTTTCCCCATAAGAAATAATGGAAATCAAATTAATCCGTGCAAGACACCCAAAAGTATGAAAAAAAAAATTTTACCACATGAAATATACATTTTCCCACACACAAAGAGAAGGATACATGCACAATAGTAGAGTAGTACATGCACAGTATATATTGTGCATGTACTACTCTACTAAATGAAGAATAAATGACACTTACCTTTATTGAAGATGCAGCAATGACTGATGAGACACTGTGTCCTGGGAGTGCCTTTTCCTCCTGAGTACTGTAGGTCCTGTTTGGCATTTTCTTCCAGAACATGCCTTATCACACTGTGTATGCCACTACGATTCTTAAATCTCTCAAACCAACCTTTGCTGGCTTTAAATTCACCAATATGAGCACTAGTTCCAGGCATTTTTCCCTGTTCACCTGGGTGTTAGTCGACTTGTGTGGGTTGCATCCTGGGAGACAAGATTAAGGACCCCAATGGAAATAAGTTAGACAGTCTTCGATGACACTGACTTTTTTGGGTTATCCTGGGTGGCAAATCCTCTGGGGTTAATTGTTTCTTGGTATTCTCAATAAGCCACACCAACAACGGTGCTACAGCAGCAGCAGCAGCTGACAGTGCAGCAGCAGCAGCAGCTGACAGTGCAGCAGCAGCAGCAGCTGTACCACCAATAGTAGCGATGGTTGATTGGGGTTTATTATACAACCTGGCCAGCTCGGAGACATGCACTCCACTTTCATACTTATCAATGATCTTTTTCTTCATCTCTATTGTAATTCTCACCCTTATTGCTGTAGGGTTGGCACTAGAAGCTTTCTTGGGGCCGATGGTCACTTATTTTCCAGAAAAAGCACCGAAAACACTGTAATAATACGAAATATTCCAATTGTATGCTTGGATGTTACCGCGGAGGCTGGCTGGTAAACAATGCCACCGGCGGAACATGTGAGCGTGGCTCAGGCCGCACATTGGACGCGTCTCGGACGAAAATCGGTAAGCGGGTTTTTAAGCGGTATGTGAGGCAAAATTTTTGCAATTAAAGTAAGCGGTATGCGAAATAATCGCTATGTGATGCCATCGTTATGCGGGGGTCCACTGTACTTTTCATCATGAAACCAATCAAAATCATCTCTATTTCTGTAATATATCTTCCATTCTCTCAAATGAGATCAAGAAAACGAAAATACAACCATAAATACCATATGAAAATACATATCAAATTCGGCATTTTAATCCAAAAACATGGTTGGAGTTTTTTTCTCTCATTATGCAGTGTGGTGCAGCATTTTTTTATACTGTGCACAATGACCACACAGACCCATTCTCTCACATGTAGGTCTACCAGCTTTCTCCTGATAGATTTGAAGCCGCTAGAATTTTGGGGTATTAATACGTCACTAACACTGGCTTGTAAGCTGTACCTATACGCCACCAACAATGACAGGGTTAAGTGAGGAGAGGCTGTACTGTACTTTTTATTGTTATTCTAGAGTGTACTCTTTCTACTTATTAAAAAAAAGTTTAGTGTAAAACATTATAGGGTGTTATGATGGCAGCAGCCTCATACATCTCATGTTTACCACATCTCTTGATAACATCATTTCCCCTTGTGCTTGTTTTAATTTCATGTTTTGTTTATCATTGTCCCTAAGCATAAAAAATTCACAATGAAGTGTTTAGCAGAAGCTTTTGCAGTACACTGTATGATGTTTGCATGACAAAATCGCCTAATGATGCATTTCTCAGAATGTATTGCTGTCGTTAAGCAATGCATGACTGTATTAGATCATCTAACATACCACTGAGGAAACCCAAAAGACTGGTTACAGAGAGAGAGCATAGGAGATGGTACAAAAAAAGAAAATGGGTCACCGAACTGCTTAAAAATATAACACACATTTAAGTTGTGCTAAAAATTGTAAAGTTTAATTCATAAATGTAAAATAATGTTTTTATCAATATGCCAAATATTACTAATCTTAATGTTATTGTATACTTATTCATGCTTGTAATTTTTGTTTCTACAGCATCAGACTATGTACTTCGTATGACTAGCAACAGAAGCGACTTGGCAGAGAAGTACTTTAACAATGCATCCAATGAGACACTACTTGACCTCAGTGGTTACTCACTCGGTGTTGAAGCAGGAGAAGAGATCACCATTATCTTAAAACTATTCCTAGTGAGCGATGTCACTTTCTACTTCGCACTGCGTGCAAAGGATGAAGTAGGAGGAGAAAGGTCAGTTTTTAGGGATTAGATATTTCTCATGGTTGTATATGCATTTACAATCTGTTCTTTCTATATATTGCTTATGCTAGCTTAATCAGTTTTATTATTGCATTTATAGGAACACTAAACCCATAAGAGGTCATACAGCACCTTAGAGAATGGGAGGCATTCAGATTCAGTCCAAGGAAGGGAAGCACAGGTCTGAGTCCTTAGATCAAGAGCCTCTAACTGGACTCTATAACACTTCGTTTGAGATGGTTATTGAGCTAAAAAAGAAAAGTTATGCATTATAAACTTATAAAGAATTTGTGTTTTTCCACTTGTTATTTTAACTACAGCTCCGCCATCACAAATCTGGCAATCAGACATCTGGTTCCATCAGCTATTCAGCACTAATTTCGGCCAGCATAATTTCAAATTTCCAGGGTTGCCACACCAACCTGCTGGTTCAATAAAAAGATAAACATAGCCAAAGCCGGTATTAACAGTCTCTTTAGATTTAATGAAGCCCCTACATATGTCAAAAAACATCTGTATAAAATGATGATAAGACCAACACTCGAATGCCCATGTGTCCCAATGTCATTAACAACAAAGACCAACATGCTAAAGTTGCAACGGGTCCAGAATAGAGCTCTCTGCTTTATTACGGGTACCAGGAGGAGAGACAGAGTTAAAATGGCAGATTTACACGTACAAAGGATATTACTGCCTTAAATGTACGCCTTGATACCCTGAAGAAGAAACAACTCTATGCAATGCAAGAGCTCTACATGCCAGATAGAGAACATCCTCTCCAAGTTGAAAATACCACGGATTATATCATCAATACTCCTCCTCACAGGACCCAAAGAATGACTCCCACAGAGGGTACATCGCTTCATCCATAAAGACAATTACCATCGACCAATGATCTTGAGCAACCTCCCTGCAGATGAAGATGATTGGGTAACACCAGAACCCTTCTATGTATACTAAGAAAATCATTGCCCCCAATTAGGGAGATATCTTGAATAGCATTCTACTGTTAAAATTATGCTACATTTACTATGGCGGAACACCACCTTGTAAGAAGCTAACATGTCAAGTAATTCTTTACGAATTGTCCAGACAATTATCGCCTTCATTGTCGTTTAAATATTCGTTGTGCAATCGAAAAAAAAAAAAAAAAAAAAAAAAAAAAAAACAATTGCAACTTGTATAATTACTACCAATTCAGAGTCATGTATTTTATATCTATGTGACTCTGATGGATTAGTATTATACCTCTTCAAGAATATTTTATTATTCCACATACACTTTTTAAATTGCACCAAAGTGGTTGGGCCACTTACCTTTTATATCCTACCTCTCTCCTCCCTCCCACTCTTTTCCAATATTTCTATCCTTACCCATCCTTCTTCCTTACCCATCTTACCAAAGACTCTGGTCATAAGAAGAAAAATACCTGGTGGTACTGTTTGGTGGCACTACTTGTACTTGCTGCATAAGTCATTCCAATTTCATTTTCTCCTCTTATTGTTATAACCTTAGTGGTATATTTTCGTATGGTTTTTGTGGTTGTATTCTCATTTTTTGGTCTCATTTGATAGAATAGAAGATATATTACAGAAATAGATATGATTTTGATTGGTTTCACAACAAAAAGTACCTTGAGATTGAGCTCAAAGTAACGGAAATGTTCAATTTTGGCCTATGTTCAATGAACTTTCTTGTGTAAGTCAAGTTGGTTAACTTTATTAAGCGTATTCTAACCTAACCACTCTGTAATCCGGCAAACTCAATAATCCGGCACACTACAGGTCTCAATGATGCCGGATTTGTGATGGCAGACCTGTATTACAAACATACACATATTATAAAGTGTTATACAAAAATTCTTTGGATTTGTAAAGTCTCATCAGCAACCTTTACTTTTTTATTTAGCTATTAAGCAGACTGCAGCTGCTGTTATTAAGCTGGCCTGTATTTTATTCCTTGAGTTCCTAGACAGGGCGATTATTATTATTCTAATTGAAACTAAGCACTAACTCACAAGGGTCATACAGCACTAGGCAGGGTGAGCAATACATGAGACATACCAGTGAGATATTAATTTTATTTTTAGTATAAAATTCATGGTATCTATTGCAGGCTTCTGGAAATAGTTTTTAGAATTACCATCATTTATAAGGTTTTCTATATGTAGAGTGTACAAGAGAGTGCACATTTAGTAGTTTTAGGTTAGTACAGCCTGCTTTCTACAACAGACTTCAGAGCTGCCATGCATATAGGCTTATCTCTGGGAAGTATAATGAAAGTCGGTGGGAAAAACTACAGTGGACCCCCGCTTAACAGTCACCTCCCAATGCGACCAATTATGTAAGTGTATTTATGTAAATGCGTTTGTATGTGTATGTTTGGGGGTCTGAAATGGACTAACCTACTTCACAATATTCCTTATGGGAACAAATTCGGTCAGTACTGGCACCTGAACATACTTCTGGAATGAAAAAATATCGTTAACCAGGAGTCCACTGTACGTATTTTGATGAAATAAGATTCATCAAATAAATGTTCTTTTCCTATATACAACTCTTTTATTAAGCAGGGCTAAATGTATAGTGGAACTTTGACTTACAAGTGTCCCAACATACGAGTTTTTTGAGTTATGAGCCGTCCCTGGGTCGATTGTTTGCTCTGAGCTACGAGCCACCTCCCCCCCCCTTCCCCTGGCTTCCCCCTCAACCCAAAACCTGGACACCTCGCTTGTTTATCTATGATTTCATGCTTTAATTCCATGGAAATCATTCTCTTTTTCTTCTCAGCACTGTCCTTTACTTTCTTAGGACCCATGCTTAGAAAAATGAAATTTGGCCAAATGACTGTCAAATATGTAAGTAAATCATGAGAAAACGGCTCCCACAGTGAGGTAAACAGTGAACTGAGTTGGCAGCGTTCGTTATTATTATAATAATAATAATTATTGTTATTATTATTATTATTAATTTAGGTAACTAGAGCACAGATCCAATTTCCTAGATCAAAAGCCCCTCACCAGCATCAAGGTTCCTTGACACTGGTGAGGGGGCTCTTGATCTAGGGAATTGGATCTGTGCTCCAGTTCCCTAAATTAATAATAATAATAATAATAATAATAAAATAATAATATAATAATATTATTATTATAATGATAGAGCTTCAGTTCCCTAAATTAATAATAATAATACATAATACATATGTAATAATAATTGAGAATCCTGCCGCTAGATGGCACTACTGATGCCAAAACATCGTACATGTTTACATAACTATGGGAGCAGTTCTCTTGTGCTTGTTTGCATTTTTTTAGTCATTTTGCCAAATTTCTTTTTTCTAACCATGGGTCCTAAGAAAATAAGCACAAAGAACAGTGCTGAGAAGAAAAAGATGATTTCCATGGACTTAACCAGGCAATACATCATACGCTGTACCCTCAGCATCCCCCATCCTCAACATCCCCCACCCTCAACCTCCCCCACCATCTCTGCTCCAGTGTGTAAGTACAGTGGACCCCCGCCCAACGGCGGCATCAAGTAACGGCAAATTCGTCTAACGGCACTCTTTGTCATAAAAAATGGCTCTACCAACGGTGAAAAGCTCATCTAACAGCGTTTGGCCCAAATGTGTCCATGCAGCCGGAGCACGCCGTGAGGAGGCCCAGCCACTCCAAGACTCAGTGTGCCATTGTTTACAAGCCATTGTGGTCGATTCCACATGTACCTGTGATATACAGTGGACCCTCGACCAACGATATTAATCCATTCCTGAGAGCTCATCGTTAGTCAAAATTATCGTTAGTCAAGTTAATTTTTCCCCTAAGAAATAATGGAAATAAAATTAATCCGTGCAAGACACCCCAAAGTATGAAAAAAAAAAAAATACCACATGAAATATTAATTTTAATACACACAAACTGAAGAAGACATGTACAATTACATGACACTTACCTTTATTGAAGATCTGGTGATGATTGATTGGATGGGAGGAGGGGAGTGTGTGGATGGTGTTAGTGTTTAGAAGGGGAATCCCCTTCCATTAGGACTTGTGGTGTCAAGTCCTAATGGCTTATGTCCTGGGAGTGCCTTTTCCTCCTGAGTAATGTAGATCCTGTTTGGCATTGTCTTCCAGAACAGGCCTGTTTCATCACAATTGAACACTTGTTGGGGTTGGAATTTTTCTGCTTCACCATGCCTTATCACACTGTGTATGCCACTACAATCCTTAAATCTCTCAAAGCAACCTTTGCTGGCCTTAAATTCACCAATATGAGCACTAGTTCCAGGCATTTTTTCCTGTTCACCTGGGTGTTAGTCAACTGTTGTGGGTTGCATCCTGGGGGACAAGATTAACCCTTTGACTGTTTACACATAAATTCTAGCAGCTTCAAATCAAGCAGGAGAAAGTTAGTAGGCCCACATGTGAGAGAATGGGTCTCCATGGTCAGTGTGCACCATATAAAAAAAATGGGGTGCCAGTGGTGCATTGTGGGAATGCCATTTCAGTCGTCCTTTTCCAGCATGCTTAGTGGTAAGAAATATGTGACTCCCCAGCAAATCTGGGACTCTTCTCTTCCCAAGTGATGCTCTAACACAGATGGAAGTGTCGGTGAAGATCAATTTCATGATTTCGAGGAGGAGGAGGAAGAGGAAGAAGAAGAAGAAGAAGAAGAAGAAGAAGAAGAAGAAGAAGAAGAAGAAGAAGAAGAAGAAGAAGAAGAAGAAGAAGAAGAAGAAGAAGAAGATGTAATAACATTGTTCCCTTGAAGCAAGAAAAAAAAAGTCCACCCCATGACAGTGACAAGATAAGGGGAGATAACATCTGATAAGAGCTGACGTTTGATGAGCGTAAACGAGGGTGGGGGAGGGTGCCGCTGATAAGAAAAGATTAGATGAGTATCGCCTTCGCTTTGTTTTTGCTGGTATACAAACATTTCTGTCTATTTGTCTGTCTGCCAAGCTCCCTGTCTATCCATCTAGCTCTCAGTCTTG